ATCTCAGAAAAGGTCTGCAACAACCTCAGTTTTTTGCTACATTCTTGCATCTATGCTTCTGGAGGCCCGTGATAATTAAGTAGGCCATTTCCAGCTTTAAAGAGCTATAATAAAGGTTGACGCAGTATAAATTCTGCATCCTTTGCTCAGATAAATCATTTTATCTTATATAATCACCTTTTGTGGTAGTCTATATGTATGTAACAAAGACTGTGGTTCCCAACATGATTAGCAATTGAGAATGTGCTTAGAATATGGAGTCAGAAATAATTTCTGAAATAAATGGAGAGTTTCTTAACATAATATTCAATACTTTAAGGCAGTTTCAGACTCAATGACTTTCCTCAATGTTGTGTGTGTATATATACAAACAATGCCTCTTATTTCCATTCCATTTTATTTATGTTATAAATAGAGCAAATGGTTACATTTAAAAAAATGGTACAAGGGGAGTTGTATGCATACATATGCCTGAGTCCAATTCTCTTTAACAAAATTCATCAAGTAAGAAATTCTAGCCACTGAAGAGGTACACACAGCTTCCTCTCAGATGTACATGCACTACAACAGCTGAACAAAAGTTACCAATCCTCACACAGAAGGTGCATATCAAGATCATAACCTCTATTTCCCCTTTATCAGTTAGGGAAACAACATGAGTAACACACACCTAGATCAGGCAATGATTGTTTGAATTCATATTGCTGAGACTTATGCACTTGCCAGAAAGGCATTTTAGTTGAACAAACCCAAAGACAGCCAAACCAAGGCTCTATCTGCCCCACAACAGCACAATACATTTAACTTCTATACTACAATATTATAAAGGGTCCAATTTAAAAGGAGCATCAAGTTTTCCTTAATTTGTTAGTTTAATACAGTTCTCCAATGTTTTCTGACATCTCCTAACATGTAAGGAACTGATTTTTAAAAAAAGTGTGCAAATCTGCAGGCACAAATGAACAGTTAGATATAAACCTGTACATACACCCACGTTAATATTTGTTAATACAGTAACCAATACCGAGTAAGTATGTTTTTGGAAGTCAGGTGAACCGTTAATGTTACCATTAACAAAATAAAACATTTACAAAACCAAAAATGAATTCTTTGCATTTGTTACAATGTGAGGGACCCTCACACCCACCACTAAATGCAAGGTCAACAAGACTGCAAACACAGATTAGTCAAAGAATACAAACCAAAACTAACAAAATGCCATAAAAAGCAATTAATCACAATTGTAAAACAGCCATGTTTCAAACTTAAAACTTGCAAAATTCATTATGCATCAGTGTCCAGCAAATAAGGAAAACCCAAACCCTTAGTTTGGCAAATATAATTGTTATAGTTAAGAATGCCAGAACAATGTTATCCAAATTATGTATATTGGATAAGAGCAGAGAGATGAAAGATGTCTTATGCTTAAAGCACTAGACTGGGACTCAGAATATTGTTTCAGTTGGCCAGTTATGCCTTCCTTGGGCATATCATTTGGGTCCCATTCCTACAGAGACTTATATACATGCTTAACTTTACACACTGACTAGTCCACCAATTCACTTCAATAGGACTACTTCACACTATGTAAAATGAACTGAAACATGTTCTTCGTTAGTCTCTCTGTGCCTCAGTAACCCTGAGGGTACTGTAAAAATCTGTAAAATAGAGATAGCAGTACTTCCTATCACCCTTTAGCTTATCTATTTAGATTGCAAACCCTTTGAGGTAGGAATTATCTCTGATGTTCATGTGCAGTGCCTAGCATAATGGGATCCTGAACTCAGCTGAGACTCTAGGCATTGTAATAAGTGACTGGTAAATCAGTTATTCAAAGCATGAGTCTAACTAGCAAGTGAAGAACCTATTACAAATTCATCTTGAAACAAAGGTAAAATGACTAAAGTATTAAACCTGCCAAAACTGGGGTTTCAGTAGAGAGCAGTCATCATATCAGTACAGTTGAACATTGCTATTATAGATGAATAATAGTAAGTTACACAGTATATATTGTGCACACAAACAACACCTAATTGTCTGGTGAGTGAAACCCAAAAGAGTGGCTTTTGTACTACAAGCTATACAGGAGGTTAACTAAAGATATCCCTTTGCAATTGACATAAGATCAATGTGGAAATATATCCTTATGCGGTGTAAATACACAAGAAAGAGCACTGTTTTTTCTAATTCAAGAGGATCTAGAATAAATGGCATTATTCCACTCCAATAACTATATATAGTCTTATTTATAGCACATTAAATGGAAGAAATATATATGCCACTCAAGGACAGGCACAAGATAAAGAGTTTGAGTTATAGGGCAGTTTGATGCCTGCAGGTAAAACCATGAAGTGTAACACATCTACCCAGGCACATACAAGTGTTTTACAATATCATACAATTAGAGACTGAAGAGTCCTCAGTGTCCAAACTGCTCCTTATACAGAAAGAACATCTTTCAAATAGATATAGATTCCTAATATGTGACAGCTTGTAGCTCAGATTTTCACAGCAGCAGTACACATCTGAGATTTACAAAACTAAGACAAACATAAAATACAATCAGAAGACAAAGAATTAATTTAGAGTTTGATTACTAAAACAAGTGTACAACCAAACAATTTGTATCAGTGAGAACAAAGCTGTCAGATTGTTAGAAAACTTTAGAACATGAATAAAATGAGACCCTATTAAGTTAAAAGTGAACTGAATAGTGTGTTTTTGTGCCTTTTACTGCTCCTCTATTTATAAAGACAATTTTAAAGCTTCATTAGAGAGTTTTCCTGTTTTTATTTTTTTAAACTACACACTTGAGAATCAGATTCGATGAGTGTGGTAGAAAAATCTATATAGAATAGAATAGGCCCTGACTTCTTTCTACTAGAAGAGCCAATGATTTGGTGAACCGGGAAAGTGACCTCACCATAGACTGAAACAAGAACTATCGGTCTTAGAACGCTCAATTGAGTGGGAATGATTGACTCCCTGAATAGGTATTGACATCCCCTTCCCCACTCTATTCAAGGTTGGGAAAGAAACAGTTCAGGTTTCAGCTCGTTGAGATATCAAGGGTCCTTCAAATAAGTCTGTCCTCTAATGGGAGGAGGAAGTGTGAAAGACAAACACAAAGAGTTCTCTTTTAGAAGAAAAAGTTTTGCAGAGCTGTCTTTTATCTGTACCATGCGTACCTGTAAAGGAGCACAAATTTTGTTCCGATATTTTGCCATTTACCTTCAACTAGCAAACACTATCTAAACAATTGCACCAATACTAGGTTTCAATACAGTAAGCAAAATTAGATATTTATTTGCACTTGTCTCCCTTACATAAAGAGTTGGTGAACACCTGGCATTTCACCACAACAGGATTTTAAATAGAGCACGTCTTTACATCTATCCAGAGATCCACTAATCATAGTCTATTTTGATTTGTGTAATTGTGTCAAGGTTTGGTTTGTCACCACCATTCCTTCCGTGAACTGAAGTCAAGTGCTTTTTTAGGGCAGATTTGTGTTTAAAGTCCATGTCACAACAATGGCATTTGTAAGGTCTGTCCCCACTGTGAATATTCAAGTGGTCCTGAAGCGTGCTTTTAGCAGTAAACGTCTTCAGACAAACCATGCATTGGAATGGGCGGATGCCCATGTGCCCTCGGATATGCCTATTGAGATTCTTCTTTTGTGTAAATGTTTTCCCACACTGTAAGCATAAGAAAAGTTTGTGCATTTTTAGGTGTCTCAGATAGTTTTCAAGGTGGACAAATCCTCGGGGACATTTAGGACACTGGTGCCGCCATGAATAACCAGAATCCTCCAGACTCTGAAACCCACTCACTACACTCGAGGTTCCTTCTGTATTGTCACTGACAAAGCCCTGAAAATGATTCCCAGGCACTTCTGTAATTCTACTCTCAACAGTAGAATTTATCAGTGAATGTTGTGTTTCTGGAAAATATAAACTTGTTTTAGAGGAAGTGCAAGGCTGTGGAAAATGATCATTTTCCACATTGGCTGTGCTCATGGAATCCATTCTGAATATACAAATTTCATCATCTTTATATCCTATTTCAACTGTGGAAATCTCTGGAGTTTTCATGTCCTTTCTTTCCGTTATTAAACTTTGCATTGCAGGTTGTAAGGCATCCCCTTGCTCCCGTTTTACATTATATTCTATATTAACAGGGCTATCTTCAGAAATTTCAATTATTTCACAGTCTTTATCCAAATTGTCATCTTTATTTCTCAGCTCAGTGTCTGAGGAATGACATTTCTCTGTGTTCTGATTACTGTTCTCCATAGAAGCATCAATTTCCAGATATTTAGACAATGCTTCGGTACATTTCTCTACAATGTGGACCATCTGAAGGTAACTTGCAGCAATGAGATATTTCAAAAGCTCCTTCTTTTTAACTTCGAGAGCACCAGTATAACAAGACAATAGTAACTTTCTGCCAACCTCAGCACTCTGCAATATGGTGATTCGCATCTGTTTCGACTGACTGAGCAAAAACTGATCCCTCATAAATGTGGAGCAGGCAGCAAAAATCACTTTGTGTCCATGAAACTCAGTGTCATTGATATATATTGATACATCACAAAATAAATTCTGCTGTCTCAAGAGGTTCATCTTTTGCAACACAGCATCCCCTTGCTGTTCAAACTGGAAATGCAGCACATCTGAGTCCGTAGCCATGTTGACAACCTATGGAAAACACACAACAGAAACGTTACAATTCAAGTATATCATTCTGGATGCAGCTTTCACTGTCTCAAACTTCCAATCTGATATCTACTGAATACAATTTCATCAGCAGTTTAAAGCCACTGCATATACCGGTGCTGAATAGTGTTTATGCAGAGTAAGGCTCAAAAGCTGACTTAGGAGCTTGCAACTGGCCTGGTTCTGTATTCCAGTCTAGACAGGGCTCCCCCATAAAACACTCATATCTAACCCTTACTCTCAGCACGGTGCCTACAAGAGCCCGTGGACACAAGTAGCAGTAGCCAGGCTTAGCCACAGCTGGGTCTGAAAACTATTTAAAACGGTTACGAGCCCTACGTCGCAGTGCCACCCTCGCAGCTGCACGACGCCCCCCATCCAGCCCAGCCGCCAGACCTTGCTGCGCTTCCTCTCTGCCCAAACCCGCAGGAGCCCCCGCCCTCCCGAGCTGCTCCGGCTCTAGGCCCAAGTGAAGGCGGCTGGAGACGCCGGAGCCGGAACCTCCCCCTTCCGGGATTACCACCTTCTCCTTCCACGTTCCTCAGCCCCGAACCGGCTGCGGCAGCCCTGAGAGCAAGCGCTACCCACCGCAACCGATGAACCGGAAGCACATTCCCAAATCCCGCCCCCTCCACCGGAAGAGATCTTTGTGGAGCGCTCTATCAGTCCCCTGACCCCAGCTACCGGCCTCCCCTTGCCCAATAGGACGAGGCAGCGGCAGGGCTGCGGCTTCCGGGAGCCCGGAAGTGGTTCGGGCTGGAGGCGGATGTGTTTCCGTTCGGACTCCGCCGTGCCTGTCCCCCTCATGGACGCACAGACTGGTGGGGCGACACGAGCCTCCGGGCGAAGTCATTGGGCCCCATCATCCCCCACGACGGGGACGGGGACACCGGGGGACAAGCCCCCCTCCCCCCAGCGGGAGACGTGTGTGTAGCGGGAGGGGGTGAGTCCCGCTCCCTTGCCAGGGGCTACCGTAGCTGGAGGGTTTACGAACCCGGCAGGGATCCTCCCCCATACCACAGCCCCATCACTTGCCCACTCAGGTGCGGTGGCTCCACCAGGCAAAAGCCAAGCGTCACAGCTGGTCATGAAATCATCGGTGGGCACCTACAACTGGAGGGTGACGGCTGCCTCTCCAGCCTGGCAGCCCTGCTGCCGGTGGGCCTGCGGGCTATGGTGGTCTACTACATTCCTGCAGCCAGCCGAGCCTCAGGCCCATTCAAATGAAATTTGTGTAGAAATGGGCCATTTTGCTTATGGCTGAAAAACACATACAGGCAAGGGGCTTAGGGGGAAGTTTAGAATAAGCATTGGCATCGTTACAATGCTTCCCAGCTAAGGCTCTCCCTGCATTGTACTAACAACAGATTTAGCTACAGGGAGCAAAGCAACAGATGAAAATGAAGCAGAAAGACGATCAATGAATTAGCCAAAGCCACAGAGCATACCAGAACCAGAAGATAAGCTCAAGAAAGTCAATGCCTTCTGTCCTTTAACCACAAAACTAGCCCTTAGAGTCCTTTAGGACAGAGTAGTGGAGTCAGTTGTAGTAATAAAGAGTAACTCATAATGGATATGGCACGCTCTTAGTGACATTTATTTAAGTCCCTCTGGGATATTTTCCAAGGTTGTCCATCAGTAAGGAATTCCAGATTTAGAAACAATTAAGGGTCTGCTCATAATTCAGGCATTTTAGTAGAAGGCAGAATTAGGCTCAGTAGTTGTAGGGGAAAAATAGTTACTTCTCATCACCCCTACTACCACTCACAGAATTATTGCTGTTTGGGTTAAAAAATTCAGAAACCCTACACCCTAAATGGGATATTTTAGATTACTTTGGTTTTCCTTTTAGATCACACAGTGAGTAATAGGCATTAGAAATCCTTGTGATCTGTACAGAACATACCATAAAAAAAAGCTAGTAGTAGTGATACAAAAGTTGGCTCATCCCTTAAACAGTACTCAAAGACAGAGTAGGCAGAAAGGTGCCTAAAAAGAGTTTAAAAAGCCATTGATGCACCAGCTTTGGTAATAAAAATGTGTATTCAACTTCCTCCTAATCATTGAAGAGGTACTTAATTATTCTGTGGAGCATAAACTAGGATAAAGGAAATAGATGTTCAGTATATCCCTTCTCCGTGGAGAATTTGACTGTCTCTATATCAGGTCAGTATAGTGAACTACAGTTCTGTACATTTGCTCATTTCATCTGCACCATTGTTTTTATAATTAAAAAAAAAGGAAAGAAAGACAACACAGAACTGCAGGATACCAGTAATATTTTTAATGCAGTTTTGCTTTTTGTCACATTTTTAATTAAACTCTCCCTACTCTCCATCCCTTCTCAAAATGACTCCAGTATTCACCACCAGTCCTCTCATGTTCTGTACTTTCGCATTCAATGTGCTCTATGTTCAAGTCAAATAAGACTACTGGTGTGACAAATTGTATAGGTTTATAAGTTTTGCCACAGAGGAGGAGGGGGGGAAAACCCACAAAAAACCTGATACTTCAGGTATGTCAGAGTCACTAACTTGTAAAATTCTTCTATAAAAAGGTAAGACAAACCTACAGTAGTTCTCTTACCCATATGTTCATCGAGTAAATAGGTTCTAAAAGCAAAAATAATCCTTACAAATGTGGCCAAAGTGTCTTTCAAATATTTTAGTAATGGTAGACTTTTCCCCTAATTATTTTTAGGATAGGCAGGAACTTGTACATTACACTCAGTTGTGAGATTACCCATGTATCAGTAAATGGTGTTTGACACATTAACATACAGATTATGACAATTGCCAGAGAATTTATCTGACTAAGCAACAGCACTATCAACTTCAAGTGGATCTAGGCCAGTTAGAACTTTGCAATAAAAAGTGATTTAGAAGAAAGTTATACATACATGATTGGCTACATATTAAGTTCATTTTATTCTATAACAAAGATGCCTTTGGATAGTCTGTATAAATAGATTTTATAACAATAGTGCCAGGCTCCATTTTAATTCTTAATTCTGGGGGAAAAAAACATTGACAAGATTTTCTTTGTCTCTAGTCCACATTAGAGCTATGATAACCCATTTTCCATATAATGAATATTATAGTATCAAATGTTTGAACAATATGGAAGATTCTGCCTGAAATCAGATCCACATGCAATATTTCAGACATAATAACCATGGAGTAACAGCTCAAGCTGATTCTGTATGCAGGTTTTTGATTTTTTTCTTTAAAAAATTTAATTTATTTTTCCATGCAAGCTGTCTCTGAACCAAGATTCTGAAAGAAATAGTTTCCTAAAATAGTTACATTTCAGAACTAAATTAATCTGCTATGATATTTGTTTCCCCCTCTCCATTGCCCATTACTTATTCCAAAACTGTACACATAACAGGCAACTATAGCCGTTTAAAACTTTCTATCTGAAAAGGTGATTGTGTCCTTTCATAACATTTTGCAACATTAGCACTTCATTCACTGTAATGCTTGTTTTGGGAACTTCTGACTTTTGTATGCCCCTTTTCTCAAGACCCAAGCTGTCTTTTGATAATGAAATATACATTATTTTCTGCAATAAAATGCTTTGGTCATATTTTAGTTTAGCATTGTTACAGTTCTAGACTTAAACAGCTGCATTAGAAGTAATACTTGATCCAAATGTGAAAAGCAGTTCTTTACCAAGGGTCAAGCAGTAGATTATTAGACCACACTGCATTTCAATTCAGTAAGAGTGCTACTCTTCTGTAAATCTTCTCTTCTGACTTCTGTTAGTCTGTTGCTTTCTTCTGTAAATGGTATTCTTCAGATGAGATATTAAAGTATGGTCCTTTCACTCCAACTACGACGGCAGCCATCTAGATTAAAACTTCCATGACACTTTTCAAAACAAGTACAGCATAATCTCAACCCCCAGTTAACATTCCATTCCCTCTAGGTCTGAGATTCAAAGATGTGTAAAAGAGCTATTGCTGATCACAGTCAATAACTGATGCATTAATCTACAGCCAATGACACCTGTATCTTACTCTGTCTAAACTCTTACCTTGTAAAGCTCTAGGATTCATGAACTATGTAGGGTGGTAGCTAAATTCTAGTCTACTTTTCAAGATGAAGTGCATACTTTTAGGATCCAACAGAGACTATGATCTAACTTTATATTTTCCCCCCAGTTAACTGACATACATAGCTCCTAGTAGAGCTCTAGGAAGAGTTTAAAAAAAAAAAAAGTATGGAATTACACATTTCAGCTGGTGAAAGAGATTCTTTTCACAATGTCATAAATAAAGCAATATTCCCCACTTCAGCTTTGCTTTAAAACCAAATATGAAAGTCACAATTGCTGTGGTTTATGTGAAGCAATGTTTATAGGAGACAGAACAATAATTTTATTTTGAAGTCTTTACCATGTCTTAGTACATACAGTGATAGGTGGTCCTTTAGTGCTTGTCTTCACTACAAGTTAGCATGCTTTAGTTACTGCATTCAAGCTAGCCTAGCTTGAGTGAGAGCAACCACACTTCAAAGCAATACGGGAGTTTCACAGCCTGATTTGATTAGTTGCTGTTCAGTTAGAATAATAGAACTATAGGGCAAAAAGGGACCTCGAAAGATCACTTAGTCCAGCCCTCTGTGCTGAGACAGGACCAAGTAAACCTCCTAGAACATTTGTGACAGGTGTTTGGAAGTTTTAAGAACAGATTAGACAATGATGGGAATTCGACAACCTTCCTGGGAAGCCTGTTTCATTACAGCTTATATTTAGAAAATTTCCCTAATATCTAATCTAGATCTCCCTTGCTGCTACCTTCGAGTGGCCATTGTTCTCCATAACATCTCTCAACACATTTAAAAACTATGATCACATTCCCCCATCAGACTCCTTTTCTCAAGACTAAACATGCCCTTTTTATTTTTTGTTTTAACCTTTCCTCATAGGTCAGGTTTTCTAAACCCAGGGCCGCCCAGAGGGGGGAGCAACTGGGGCAATTTGCCCCGGGCCCCGCAGGGGCCCCCACAAGAGTTTTTCGGGGCCCCTGGAGCGGGGTCCTTCACTTGCTCTGGAGCCCCTGGAAAATTCTCATGGGGCCCGGGCCCTCGAAGCTTCTTCCGCTCCGGGTCTTCGGCGGCAGGAGGTCCTTCTGCCCTGGGACCCACCGCCGAAGTGCTGGGTCTTCGGCGGCGGGGGCCTACCGCCCCCAGAATCCTCTGGGCGACCCTGTCTAAACCTTCTATAAATTTGTTGCTCTCCCATTCTCCTCATCTTTCCTAAAGTGAGATGCTCAGAACTGGACATAGCACTCCAACAGAGGCCTCATCACTGCTGAGTAAAGTGGGACAATTACCTCCTGTGTGTTACATATGGGACTCCGGTTAATACGCCCCAGAATGATATTTACCTTTTTGGTAACTCCATCACATTGTTGATTCATTAAATTTGTGATCCACTACAACTACTGGATCATTTTCAACAGTATAAACTCACAGCCAGTTATTCCCAGTTTTATATGTGCTTTTGATTTTTTATTCCTAAATTTACACTTAACTTTACTGGATTTCATCTTGTTTATTTCAGACCAATTCTCCAATTTGGCAAGATTATTTTGAATTCTGATCTGTTCCTCTAAAGTGCTACAAATCCCTGCCAGTTTGGTGGTAATCCTCACATTTAAAAAGCACATTATACACTATATTATCCAAGTCATTAATGAAAATATTGAGAAGTACTGGACGCAAGACAGACTCCTGCAGGACCCCACTAGATACTGCCTTCCAATTGGACAGCTACTATTGATAACTATTCTTTGAATACAGTCTTTCCACCAGTTATGCATCCACCATATAGTAACTTCATCTAGACCACGTTTCCTTATGAAAAAATCATGTGAGTCTAAGTCAAAAGCCTTTCTGAAAATCAAGATGGAGGGAGGGGAACATACATCTACTGCTTCCCCTCTACCCACTAGGACAGTAACTCTGTCAATGAAGGAAATTAGTTTGGTTTGGCATGATTTTTGAGACGCCCACATTGGGTATTATTTATTCTCTTATTGTCCTCTACATGCTTGTTGTAACTCAAGTTGTTGCATCCCCAGAGAGTTACTAGGTTTAGCATCAACATCACTTAAGTTTCAAACGCCCGCCCTCCCAACTAGCTAGCTAGAATTTAAAGCACCACTTAACTTGAGCTAGAGAATTCCGTGTGTGGATGGGAGTTGAGCTAGGGGTAGTATTTCAATTATTACCTGAGCTAATTATGCTGTGAAAGCACATCCTCAGTAGCCCTACATCAAGGAAGAAGTCAGACCCTGACCCTAGGCAATCAGCCTCATATTCTAAAAATCTGCAATTTATTTGCTTTACAAACAGTACCATGTAATCTACCTGACCCACCTAGATCATTCAGGGCTTTAGCTCTTTCTAAACATACATCCATGTTAATAATCCTGAAAGTTGCTATCGGCTGGGGTAGGGCTGATTAGCAGAGAAAATTCAATTACATAGTTTAAAAGGGACAAAAAAGTGACACATGGAAAAAAGTATTTAATTTTAACTTTAGGGATTTGGGTAAGATTGGAAGGCAAATAACTGAAGTTTTAACAGATAAATTAGCAGTTGAACTACATAACTCTCAGTTATCCAGTGCTTTTTGAAAAAGTCAGGTTTTATCTCATAGACTCATCCTTTCTGTTGTTTCTTCTATCTGCCCAGACATACACAGGCCCTTAACTGTACAGCACATAGTTTAATTGATGACTGCCTACAGCAAGAGTTCTTCAAAAGGTGACAGTCCCATGTCTCCAAATCAGATTAAATGATCCAAAATGTAACAAATCCAAAATTTAACCCCATGCTCACCAGTAGGAACACAGACAGAAACCCTGCATGAGGATTGCTAGTCACAGAAAATAAGACTAGAATGAAGGCTGACAACCTGTTAGGTTTTGTAATTAAATCTGTACACAACCTTTCAGGGCATACCATCTGCTTTGGTGAAAGCCCAAATCCAACCTTTTGTTCCTTTCTTCGTGATGCCTACAAAGGGCTGCTTGGAATGCTTAATTAACACAGGTGCTATCACTCCTTAAATTGAGCACAGCCTGGGCCAATTTCCCTGCATCCAGTATCTGGCTTGCATCAGCTTGTTGACAGACCTTACTGTCTGTAGCAGTGCTACAGCTGAAAGAATCAAAGTCCACTGTTATATCTTGAACATTTCTTTCATTGGCATTGTCAAAACTATTTTTTCCATGTAACTGTTTAAGGTGTTTCCTCAGAACAGGTTTATGTGCAAAGACCATGTCACAATAGTTACATTTATGAGGCTTGTCTCCACTGTGCAGATTGAGATGGTCCTGTAAAGAACATTTCTGAGAGAAGGTTTTCCCACAGATTTTACACTGAAAAGGTTTGATCCCTGCATGCACTCTCATGTGTCGGTGGAGATTGCCTTTCTGAGTGAACGTCTTACCACACAGCAGACACATGAACAGTTTATGCATTTTTAAATGATTAGCATAGTTTTCCAGGTGCCGGAATACTCTGGTACACTTGGGACACTGGTGGTGCCATTGGAGACCCTTGTCTATACCTCTGTTGTTAGGACCAAACATGTCTTTAGAGGCCATGATGAAATTGTCACTGCCAGCATAAGAAAGGGCATAGTTGTGGAGATGATTTTGATCTATTTCACTCGTTCTGTTTTCCACAGTGGAATTGATTAAAAAGTGCTGAGGCTCTGATGAATGTAAAGCAGTTTGTTCAGAAGAAATAAACTGTGTTTGATCTTTTTTATTTCTAACCTCAGACACCTCCCCAATAGACTCCACCTTGACAATCTGAATGTCACTATCTTCCATGTCCATACTGTCTTCTGAGGTTTGAATACATAGTGAATCCTGTTGCAGAGAGTCCTCATCTCCTTGGTGTTCTTTCAGCTCAGAAGAATCGCTTTGCTGTTCACAATCCTCCTTGCTCTCCAATGGCTTCTTAGGTTTTATAAACTTCCAGAGAGCCTGTGTACATCGTTCCACAATGTGGCTCATCTGAAGAAAGCTTGCAGCAGTCAAGTAATTTACCAGCTCCATCTCAGGAAACTCCAGAATACCACTGTAGCAGGACAAAAGCAACTGTCTCCCCACTTCTGAACTCTGCAGAATGGAGATTTTAACCTCTCTGGAGTCATTCAACAAAAACTGATCTCTTAAAAAGGGGGAGCCTGCAGCAAACACAATTTTATGCCCATGAACCTCAACATTATCTATGTGAACTACGACATCACAAAACTTATTTTCTTCCCTCAGTTTGTTCATTTTTTGTAACATTGAATCTCCATAATTGTCAAACTTGAAGTGAAGGATATCTGATCTTTCGGACATTTTGGCAGATCTAAAGAACAAAAGCAAAATAAAAATAAAGAAACAGTATCTGAGGAAACTAATGGATGTAATCATGCAAGTAAAAAGGGGCCAATGGTGCAGGTTAAACATACATATTTTACAAAACATTTTCTTATATTAATAAAAACACGCAAGACTATTAAAAATGAAATAATTTTAAAAGTTAAGTTTACTTTGAATATCTTAATGATGTTTACTTTTCCACATTTCACACAACTTGGACAGTGAAAGTAACCTAATCAATTTCTAGACTATTTCATATTCTAATCCACATGCAGTAGTATAATGTTGCAATGTCCCCAACACTACAGAAGAACGTTTATTTAAAATATTTAGTTATATAGATACACTATTTCTTTGGAATTTAAAATAAAACCATATAAATATTTCTACTGGTTTAAACTTCTGTAAAAGCTTGCTTTCGTATTAACAAAAACTAAGTTTTTGGCTCAGTTTGAGCCTTCAATGTCCCTTTAGTTTTTATCAATAGTTTTGCTTTAAAGCATGAACAATTTCCATAGGCAATTGATCTCTCAATGTTACACTTAAGCACCTGTCAGAGAGGACAGTGTAATATTAAACCAAGCTTTTTAACATTCATGTACTGAGCAGGAGAAATATGGTCTATGAATCAAACTAAGAAAAATAGTTAAAATTCTTCCACCCTCAACACCTCCTGCTTGCCTGGTGGTATTTCTAAATAAAATACAGCCTGTTACACATCTAAAATGCGCAGAATTCTAGTACTGAACTTAATTTTTTAGACCAGATATAGTCACAATGGAAGTGATTGGGATCTCATTCATCTTTATGCATTTGTCCAATGTCCATTATCAAGCACTGAAGCAAGCATTTTTATTTTGAGAGTTTTTAAGGGTGAGAAATAAAGTCAAACTGCTAGATAGCCCTGTTCTCTCACATTCACCACCTAATAAGCAGTTGCACCAGAAAACACTTTCTCACAGGAAACACACTGCTTCCTAAACTGTAATTACTTTTAGATGGCTATTAATGCTTGAATGGAAAATTACTCATTGTTAGAAAAATGATATTCCAGAAACAATACCCCACAAAGGTGCGTGAAGATTTCCATCATACCCCTCAAGTAATCTGACCTATACAAGAAGTAGATCATACTGTTAATGCAAATTCCAGATCTGGCTATCCTCCAGTTTTGTATTCTTGGCTAGCCTGAGGAGGGAGGGAGAAAGCTCTCTGCATCTTTCTGAGTTCTACATGCTATTTCCACTCAATATCACAAGTCACAGACGTCATCCTTCCAGCTGACAGGCAGACGTGACTCCTATTCAAAACAGGTTAGGTCTAACAGAGGAATCTTACTTCTTCAGTTTAGTTCAACAGAGACATTTCAAAATTAACTAGATATGGTACCTTAGTTTTCTTGTTCAAGCATCACAGAGAAGGTTTCTGCAAATTGCTCAATGTGTTACCAGTTTAAAGGATTCTGGATGAATTACCTAAGGAAAGAGAAGAAAAGCCACGGTTAGCCAAAGGCTTATTTGCCTTACAACTTTAAAATGTCTTTAAAGAAAGAAGAATGATTTGAAAGTAATTAACTGTTTACATATCCACACTACTATACGTGTGTTTTGAAAAACATTTTTCCAATACTGAAGAAGAACAGTATTGGAAAACTACTGGGGGTTAGTCAGAATTCCTCTCCAATTTATAAAATACTAGGCCTGCAAAGGGCCAAAAGCACCTGCCTACCTGCATTTGGCTCCATCTTTCTTTCTGGCTTTGCAACCAATAACAAGGGTAACATCCTTTTATTCCCCTTCTCATCCTCTCTTGGGTGGCTGCACCTTGTTCTTACAAGGAATTTCAGCTATTGAGCTATTAGAGCTTTCCTAGTTTTTACTTTATGTAATTCCACAATATAAAAGGAAGAAACCTGAGCAGCCCAGTGGCCATCTAGACCAGTGTCCTGGGTCTGACACTCACACTATCAGCTGCTAGAGGGGAACGCGAAAAGCCCCATAGGGGACAGTTATGGGATTATTCGCCCACATAGAAAGTCACTTCCTCGCCCCCCTTGGCTTAGTGGTTGGTTCATGACCCTGAGGAAAAACGGTCTAAAAATCCACCCTTAACAAGTGGGGCTGAGTGCTACACCGCCCAGGCTCCCCCCTTCCCCACTCCACTCACCTCCTTACTCCTCACACTCCCCCCTCCTCCTTCTCTCCCTAGCCGCCCCCACCGTGTCCCCTCCCCGCAAGGTTGGGAAGGGGCCACTCTCCGGATCCGGCCCCGGGCGGAGGCGTTGGCCGGAGGACACCGGAACCGGAAGTACCCCTCCACAAATCTTCTTCCGGGGCTCCTGCCCCTGCCCGGTTTCTTCACGAACCCACCGGGAGCCGCCGCGGCCGCTGCCGGAGCAGCCGCCGCCGCCGGGGCCCCGGAAGTGCATCTTCCTCTGACCCGGAAGACTCTCCCTGTCCCGTCCCCCTCCCCTCCGGCCTGGGTCACGTGGTGGGGGCGGCGGTGGCCGAGGCCCGGCCGGAGGAGGCAGCGGCGGTGGCTCGGGTAGGTCCGGTTCGTGCCGCCCCCGGGGTTGTGCGGCGGGAGGGGCCAGGTCAGACTCCGCGCGTCTCTTCCGCATCGTGGGGGGGTCCTACGGTCCCCGAGTCCTCCAGAGCCGGGGGCCGCGCCCCCCCCCCCGTCGCCGAACCGGCCCGCCCCCCCCCGGGGGCCCGACGCCTTCCCTGTCCCCCCCCCGTCCCCCCCGGCCCCTGGGGCCTCGCCTTGCGGGTAGCCGCTGCCCAGGCCTGGTTCTGCCGGGGCTGGGCCCAGGCCGCTCCTCACGCAGCCCGGCGGTGCCAGGCCGCGTAGCCCCGGTACACTGCTCCCCTCACCTGCACGGTGCCCGCCCCCGGTGTGCGGCCCGGGGCCCTCAGGCTGTCAGGATCCGCAGAACGTGGGACTAGCGCCTGCGGGGTGGTTTTGTTGTTGGGAGTTTCAAAAGGAAGGGAGGAAGGAAACTCCAGAACCGGGAAGTATTGGGCTAGGCACCCGGGCATATGCCATCCCGCGCAAGGTGCCTGTCCTGTGAAGCCCCTTAATGAGGTCCCCTGTGCATTCTGCAGCTTTCCCCCGTCTCTCTCTCTCTGCAGAGTTCAACCTTATGCTGCTCTCTTGCAAAGTTTTTTAGCACCTGAGATCTCTGAGCACCTTTCTGTGTCGTGCATGAGACTAGATTTCTGTGGGACCCTGTCTTGATCTCTGCCCCCCTAACTCATCCACAGGCACGTGCACAATATTGGTAAAAGTGCCTTATCATCATACTGAGTGTACTGCATGTGTAGAAAGTGTGTTATCAGTCTCTAATCACATGGCGAAATGCCAGACGGTTTTCACGGGAGTGTGTGCATACAGTTCTCAGTCACATCTATTTTCTGGCCAGATGTCCCCGTCCATCCTCCCTTTGGCTGCTTTTGTGCTGGATCTGTTTTGTTCTTAGTCACAGGATTGGTTTGATTGATAGGACAGTGTATTTTTCTCACTGTTTGTCACATTCAAGCCTCTGGACTACTTTTGCTTGAACTTTACAAAAGCTCTTGTGTGGATATACAGCCTGCAAAATATCTGGAAGGGCTGAAAGTTGGTGTTTGTAATAGAAACACATGTGCAATGTTCATTATAGCTGTCACTAGCTTTCGAGCTATTGATGATAACCTTATTGCATGTTCTGCATAGGGACAGTGGTGCATGCAAAGAGGTGGGAGAACAGCAGTGGGGCAATATGAGCTAGAAGTGGGCAGAGACCCACGTGTCCCTTCAGATATGAGGTGGCTGCACCTGGGATGCTTCACACATGGCTTGTGTGCTGGATGTTGTGATGGGTGACATGGACATATGAATAGATACTGTCACTAGGCCGAGGAATCCAGTATGCATCGGACAGTTGCCCACACATGTTAACTGGTGTGGGGATTGGAGGCATAAGATGACACTTGCTAAAAAATGTAGTTTCTAATAATAGTATTCTGTCCTCCTCTGCATATTTCAGGCAGCATTTTAAAAGTTTCTGATAGTAACTATTTGAGCCTAGTTAGATACTAAGATAATGGTGCTTAGAAACCAAAGTGATAGTCTTTCACTCTTTCCCATTTAGTTGGTTATGCTCCAACCATCCAAACAGGTATGCATGTAACTTTCTGCACACGAATAATGCTATTGAGTTCAGTGGCACTACTCACATGTGTAAAGTTACTCACATGCTATATATTGTAGGGACTTTTGTTAATTTTCCCTTGTGTAATAGACTCACCCAAACAATAAGGGAAGGAAATATATTTTTAAAGTGAATGCATTTGTAAAATTACCAAAATTGCCAGGAAACTCAGATGCAATTGAAGTTCAGTTGAAAGTGACTAGATTTCAAATTGATATTGTTCCCTTAATCATAAGTCCATTATTTCTAAATCTGTGTTGCCAGACAGCGCCGAGTTTATTTTTTATGGGTACTGAGTTATGTCAACAAAATAACCAAATTCCATTTTCAAATCTTCATGTTCTGGGACTATATCCGGTCATTGCTTGTCAGATATCACATTGATGCTAGAATCTGGCACTTTATTGCTTCCCCTTCATTTGATTTACATTCCAGTCTCAATCTTCCCCTTTTCTTTATCCCATTTGTTATCCTGTTTGTAAGTGCACATACTGTTTTAGACTTTTATGGTTTGGAATAGGTAAATTCCAAGCACTGATGATCCTAGTTCAGAGATTGAAAACAAGTAGCAATAAACAAGCACTATACTACCTTTATATGTTTGAAAATCTGGTAAAGTTTCAAAATGAAATTGGACTTTGGTAGCTGTAGATTTTACAGTATTCACCTTTGCACTTTTGCATGTTGTAAATTAAGGTAGTATAAAAAAAGCGAAAAATTAAAATGCAGGTGGTGCGAGGGGCAACAATTATGACTTTCTCATAGACTTTAAGGCCAGAAGGGACCATCATGATCATCTAGTCTGACCTCCTGCACATTGCAGGCCACAAACCTCACCCACTGATTCCTGTAATATGCCAGTAGCCACTGGCTGAGTTACCTGAAGTCCTCAAATCATGATTTAAAGACTTCAAGTTACAGAGAATCCACCATTTACACTAGTGTAAACCAGCAAGTGACCTTGCCTCGTGGTGCAGAAATACAAAGCTGGAGGTGAGATTCTGTCTAGGTATCTCATGCTGCAAAAATACATAGGCTGGTCTGTATTCCCAAATTTGTTTGATCTGTCGGGATTTTATAGACAAAATAATACACTTGTTTGGACTCAGGAAATCGGTAAGACTTCTGGGCTACACTGTTGCAGAATGCCTCATTCCATGGAGTTCTGCGGAACTGTTTAAATTTTGTGGATGTTATCATGTTTTCCATAATGATCCTTATGTCCCTGCTTAACATTAGAAGGTCAAGGCCCTGACCAGACTTGGCTATAGATACACAGTGAACAGATTAGCTAACAGTTAGGCATGAGAATTTCCTTCTGCTTTCCAAGTCCAGCTACAGACAGTTTTTAGTACCATGTATCATATGAGACTCTTAAGGTCATTGCTGCTGCTTGAAGGTTTCAGATTATATTTTCAAAGAGCCATGCCGGTCCAATAAATGTAACTATACATTTCTGTTTGAATCCCCAGTGAATGATGTAAGCTGTATAAATACACACTGCACCCTTATAAGGGTCACTCTAACCTCAGGCTGGAGAACCTTATCTTCCATGCTAACTGCTTCTCTGTACTTACGGATCTATGTCCGCCTGAAAAGGGAGACCTGTAGATGTGCACAATGCTATTGGAATGTCATTTGGGTTCGTGAGAATAGACTCTTCGCAGTGAACTCATTTCAGTGACATTCTTTTGCTGCTCTGGATAGGGCAGTGTCAGCGTTTCTTTTATAAACCACTGTTTCCCTGGGCCTACAGTCTGTCTCCGCAGTTGGAGCAATTGCTTTGTGCTGGAGCCTGACATAAGCATTTTGTCCCGAGCACATTTTCTAGATTAAAAATAAATCCTTATGGAATCAGCTATATTGATAATCCTTAACAGGTTTAAGGTTGTGTTAGCTTGAACCCTTTTATGTTTTTTCTGATACCCAGCTCTTTGGGTGATTCAACCACCTTCCTGAGATCTCTGCTTGTCATGCTTTCTCTTTCATGAGAATCACAGGGGTAGGGGAACTTGAGGAAGTTTAATCTTAAAATGAATCTCCTGTTTTCATTTGGCCCTTGAAGTCAGATTGACATAGAGGAGGGGTCCAATGGGAAAACTACACCATTTTATGGCCATGATACTCCTTTGAGAACAATCCTTTACAAGGAGCTAAAAAATTAGGAGTACAATTATTCTTTGTTCCCTTGGAGCAAGAGGAATTTAGATGCTTCATTTCCATATATAATCATAGGACTGGAAGGGACCTTGAGAGATCGTCTAGTCCAGTCCCCTGCATTCATGACAGGACTAAGTATTATCTAGACCATTTTTGACAGGTGTTTGTCTTAACCCGCTCTTAAAAATCTCCAATGATGGAGATTCCACAACCTCCCTAGGTAATTTATTCCAGTGCTTAACCACCTTGACAGTTAGGAAGGTTTTCCTAATGTCCGACCTAAACTTCCCTTGCTGCAATTTAATCCCATTGCTGCTTGTCCTATCTTCAGAGGTTAAGAAGAACAATTCTTCTCCCTCTTCCTTGTAACAACCTTTTATGTACTTGGAAACGGTTATCATGTCACCTCTCAGTCTTCTCTTTTCCAGACTAAACTAACCCAATTTTTTCAATCTTCCCTCATAGGTCATGTTTTCTAGACCTTTAATCATTTCTGTTGCTCTTCTCTGGGCTTTCTCCAATTTGTTCACGTCTTTCCTGAAATGTGGTGCGCAGAATTGGACACAGTATTCCAGCTGAGGCCTAACCAGCGCAGAGTAGAGCGGAATGAAAAGCAAAAAGCAAAAGCAAACAAAAAAGGACCCACCAGTTATAAAGCAGCCTTGTGGGATGTGATTCTCTTAGATGTTCTCCCTCCCTTACTGGAGAACCTGTGACCTGAAGATCCAGATTCTGTGGGGCAGTTTCTGGTGTCTTAGGAGTTACCCATTCTGTTTTTGAAAATTTACTTTTTATTTGTGTTGAAATTAACCCCATAATAACATGCTTAGGGACACTGTCAGTGTTTAGAGTTGTCACTGGGAGGGCTCTGAGCTGTGATGTGGCACATAATCTGAGATATGTGCTTGGTGGGGACCTTCTCTCCTAAACCTCTCAACAGTGAGACTGGAAACCATAAGGGCTACACTGCATCTGAGAGTGAGCGTCCAGCCTGGGTCTTCAGACTCATGCTAGCAGGTTTTACGCTAGTGCTCTAAAAATAGATATGTAGGTGTTGTGGCTTGGGCTCTGAAGCCAGGTGTGTAATGTGGGTTTGAGAGCTTGAGCTCCAGCCCAAGCCATGACATCAAAGCAATGTCTGCACAGCTTCTTTTAGAGCATTAGTGTGAGCTCTGCTACCACCAGTCTGGGGACCTGGGCTTGAGAGGCTCACTCCCAGATGCAGGGTATACATGTCCTGAGTTTCTTAGACAATCTGCAAGCACCATAGCTAGAGTGTTGTCCCTACTGCTGTGTTTTCTTGCTCTCTGATTCTGTGAGATTAATGGTGCTGCCTGCCACCTCTAATTGTATTGCAAATTTTTGACGTGAGTTCTTTTAGACTGATACCTATTTTATTTAGCTCATAGACTTCCTATTCCACAGCCATCCCAAGTCCTCTGGTTCAGGTAAAGTGCCCAGTGGGTGCTCTACAGGGAGCCTTCTGATCTAAAGTAACTCTTGATCTAGAAGGTGCTGAAAGATGCAAGGCCAAGTAAGGGAATGTGGAAATTCAGGTTG